TTTTGAATCACAGACTGAAACTCATTTGTGTATATATGGTTGCTTGCTTTAACCTGTAAATGACTTTCTCATTTCTTTTTTCCTAGTTATTAAACCTTTAGTGAGCTTATTACAGGATTGTCTACAAGCGCTGTCTTTGGTGTGAGATGTAAGGTACACATTGACCTAGGGTAAGAGACAGGTCTCTTGGGACTGGGAGCAACCTGAATATTTTGTGATCTTTGGTGTAAGTGACCATTTATCACTAAGTCCAGCAGGCCTGGGCGGTAAAATAGACTGGAGTGCCCAAGGGGACTGTCTGTGACTCCATGGTAAGACTGGTACAGTGCTTCAGGAGTTCATATTTGTTACTGGGTTGGTGAAATCTAATTATAGAACATACCACCAGCTTGGGGTGTCTGCTCTGCTTTTGGTTGGCACTCTCGGTTGTGAGCTACTCCAGACGGCATGACGCTGTTCTTTGAATTCCTCCAGTAGCTCTCGCTTCTCCACCAAATCAAATACAAGTTTCTGGTCCTTGCCTTTACGACTGTTCACAAATCAGCTCCTCCCTGCTTATCTGCTTTAATACTTTTTTCTTTTATACCAGACTTCATTGTCTTTTTTTTACCACTTTTGTAAAATTGGGGCACCCTGTAGTTATGTACAGTAGCCTGTTGTGTACAAAATTCTTTTAATCACTCTTTCTCTTTGCTCATATAAATAAAGACTGTCACTGTTTAAGCCATCAGGCATTCTTTAGTTTTAGGGAGATGTTTTTGTCTGCTGTTTTCTGGGCTTTTAAAACCCTCTGTGGTATTTTTAAAAGATATGTAGTTAGACATTGTTATCTGTCCAAGTAAGTCATCTACTGCTCTTTCTTGTTCCATTTTTTTAAATATTTGCTGTATCAGTAATTCCACATAGCACTTTAATTATTCCAGATGACTCAAAACATGCTGGTCTCAGCTCATTTGGTTTTGAAGGAGCTGAATAAAAATTCTCCAAACAAATAAAATAGTAATCACTATGGAAACAAATCAGCCAATTGCATTTGTGTGTTGGACTAATCACTTATATTTTTGTACCACAAAGCTCATAGCAACAATGAAAAGGCTGTGGTAACAGTAGATGTTGCAGAAAAATGTAAAATTACCAAAATTCTATTCCCTATTAACGTGACTAGATGGTTTTCCTACTCAAGGAGGTCCTGTATCTCAGATACTGTAATGTGTTAACTCTTAGCAAATGCTGATTCCTTAATAGTGACTGCTGTGCATTCAAGACATGCACAGAAATGGTCCTGGTAACCAATACTCTAAATGTATTTTACATCCCTTCTGTACAATTCAATGTAGGGAAGATACCCCTCTGAAAACTAAACTAACTGCTTTTAAATCTTACTATAAAATGACTGGAAATTGATGGTTGAGCATGACATCAAGGTACCATAACTAAGGGGTTCACAATCTAGGGATCACAAACAGGTGTTGTGGGATCATGACCTTCCAGCACTTCATATTTCACTTAAATGGCTATAGATCGCTGCTAGATAGAAGAGTGATCTGAGAATGGCAAAGGGGGTAGCAATATGGGAAGAGTTGAGAACTAATGCCATAATTGCTTGCTGAGAATGTTACCCATGCTGGTGTTGAACATGCCCATAAAGCTCTCCTATATTCAGTGAGATCAGAGACCTTTAAATGCAGCTCTGATTGGGGGAAGATGGGAATGAGGTAAGGGTGGGGGGTAGGAGAAAACTGGTAGCTCAGAAAACATTTTTCTTAAATCTTCCCGTAACACCTTCAAAGAACCTGCGAGGAAAGAGACCAGTATGTTGACTGAAACGCAAAGTGAGATGAATCTGCTTGTTACAGTCTCTGTAGAGTCTTAAAATCAGTAGGCTGTTATTGGTTAAGTTTAAAAAAAAGCAAAAACATGATTCATAAATGTGTTATGCTCTGATCTGTATTTCTGGAATGATTATTATTTTTCAGGTGACATTTATTTTAATTAAAGTTGTTACATATTTCCTTTTAATTGGGAGTAATCATGTAAGATGATTGCAACATTTTCCATATTGGAGCCATCATGTTACAACAAAAAAGTTTTGCCTCCCCAGCATAGCCAGGACGAAAGCCCTGGTTGTGACTCTTCCCTGGGTTGCAAACTCATTACTTATGGTATGTAGCAAGTTCCAGGCAGGATTTGAGTGCTTTTCAAAGGCAGATGGGTGGTGGTATCTTTATTTCACAGATGGGAAAACTGAGGCACAGACAGGTTAAACTGACCTTTGATGGTTCAGCGGCAGGGTTAGATATGGAGAAGCATCCACCTACTCAGATGTTCATTCAAACTAGCCAATTCTCTTGAGTCTGCAAAATAGGGCTGGGAAATGAGGCCAACCTTTTCTCTTAGGATTTCCAGCATGTCTAGTCCTGCCTGGAAATTCCATTGGAACAGCCATTCTCTCTGTATTTTGTTACTTTCCGTTTTGGTGCTGAATGGGATCCACAAGTGAAAAAATGTCCCTGAATCTTCTTCCATCTTAAAAAAGATTTGGCATGAGTGCTGTTCTAAACATAAGTGGCATTTTACTGGGGAAATGCTGTCTGAACCAGCTTGCACATCACTACTCTGGGTTTAGAATTATGATTTACTAATGCATGGCCTAGTTAAGTAGGTGTCACATAGCCTTAGCTTCCTGCCTACGGTGTCAGCTATTACATGATAATTAACTACTTGTTAATGCTGAAATTTAGTATCTCTGCTATTTTATTATTTACGTTTTTTAATATCCTAACCAGGACTAATCCATACTATGGGCCAAAGGTGTCTGTTTTTCAGTGTCGCTACGGGTAACCACAGCTCCAGGCATGTCCAAAGAGATGTCTGAATACTCACTGTGTTGAATTGTGTTGAAGAGAGGCTGAGTTAGACAAACAAGCGCAAATTTAATCCTGAACCCATTAAATACTGGATTGCTGGTAATATGCTGAAACCGTGAAAACATAGTAGTTTAATTAATTATCTTCTAAAACAGAATAGTGGATAGAGGGTATCCAGATAACAGATCTAGAAAAATGGCCTTATCTTTTTAAGTGGGTTTTGCTGCTCTTTTACCTTTTTTAATATAATTGTGAATGTTCATATGTAAAGTGTAACTATTTTCTTTTATCTATTCTTTAACTCTTTTGTTTACCCTGCTAGGCTCTTGGACTCAGTTATATCTTGTGTCAATGAGTTCCATGTGTTAATTATTGTGTAAAAGAAATTTTCTGAATGTAGAAGATTTTGCTGTATGCTATAGTTCATTTTTTTCCGCATCACTGTTATATGATGAAGTCAGCACTGTCCCTTGTTTTATGATGTATTTGTTGACTCACATACCTTAATGCGGTATAGTCTGGCCTTGACCTTTACAAGGAAATTCCTATTAACCCCTTAGTTGCTCATATAAATCCATGTTCTTCAGAGTGACACACTTACGGTCCTGTGCTATACATCTGATAATTTTTTTTAGTATTCCCATGCAGCACAGCAGGTACAGCATCTAAATGTATGGGCTCCAAATGTGCACTTGTCACGGAGCTCAGGTTGTTAATAGAACATTCATGCAGCTTTGAGGAACTACTGTACTGTGTCAGAAGGGATTCCCCTTACTTATCTCCTGCAGAGGTTACTGGGAAATCAGTTTGTAGAATACAATATTGTTTTGTGTTTAATAATACCTGGCTTTACTAACATTTTAATTTTTGAAAAAAAATTATGAAAGAAGAAGAACATTTTAACACTCCTAGTAATAGCATTACTTAGCGTAAGTAGATTAGGGTAGCTCAAAGGAGAAGGGTGATCTGGCCAACATCTAGAATGGTCCCTTCCTGAATTTTGAAGATATTACAGGTTTCAGAGTAACAGCCGTGTTAGTCTGTATTCGCAAAAAGAAAAGGAGTACTTGTGGCACCTTAGAGACTAACCAATTTATTTGAGCATGAGCTTTCGTGAGCTACAGCTCACTCACGAAAGCTCATGCTCAAATAAATTGGTTAGTCTCTAAGGTGCCACAAGTACTCCTTTTCTTTTTGAAGATATTACATTATCTCAGGACTGTGACCTTTATTGCATTTTTTGGTTTTGTGTTTTCCATTTGACTTTAGAATTATACTTGATACCATTATTTCACTGTGACATTCAAAAGAGCCAGTTGCAGCAGAAACATAATTACATTACAACCATGGATTTCTGTTTGATCACACAAACTCAAAAGAGCATTCTGGTACATGCACCACTGCTCAGAGTAAAAGAGTTTTTCCTCTTGTACTGACCATTTATAGAACAAGATTTCTGTGGAGTGTTTTGAGGTACTATAATGATAATACATTGATCTTGATTTGGGATGGAAAGAATATGAGTTAAAAAGAAAATAATAAAAATAGAAAATAACAAAAATAGAAAACTAAAAAGGTAAGACACATCAAAGAAGATAAGAAGGTGTCACAAATAACAGCAATGCAAGTTATCAGGGGTTCATATAAAAAGAAACACAAGGAAAAGCCGTGAGAATTAAAGTGAAAATAGGAATAAATATATGATTGTATTGCTTCCTTCCTTTGCCACTCTGTCCACATAGACCTTGATTCTTCATGCCACTCTGTGCAGGTGGGATTAAAGTAAATAGTCCAATGCATGGCACTGGGGTTTGCCTTCTCAGAACAGCTTACAGGATGGGGGCACTAAATTGTAAGCTTTCTGGGAGAGTTTTATTTTGTGTCTTTAAGGTGCCAGCACGCTTTTGTGAGACTTGTAAAAATAATAAATTGTAATCTTATTAATCAATTCTTAACCCTCTTCCTTGCTTTTTAATTATTAAGGATCAGGAAGGAATAGGTAGATTGTAACTTATTCTCTGATAATTAGAAGATGGCTGATTATACTCCCTCCCATAAAAGAGCCAGTTTTGGTTTTTTTACATTGGTTTGTAACAAATATTCTCATTGAAACTTTTTTCCCTTCTCCCCTAGGTGGTCATTGTTTCTCCTGGGGATGGAATGAACATGGGATGTGTGGTGATGGCACAGAAGCAAATGTTTATGCCCCGAAGCCAATCACAGCTCTTGGTTCTGGAAAACCATTCTTAATTGGATGTGGTGCAGGACACTCTATGGTTCTTTGTCAGACTCCAGGTTAGACCTTACACACTGGAAACCATAGCCGTGTGAATTTGGACACCTTTGCATAGAGCTTTTCGGAAGTGTTGTGAGAGAATTATTTAACACTGGCAGAACAGCCTGATGGTACAGAAGAAAATGAGGGCAAAAAACTCCTTTGTTCTGAACCCGGAATTAAAAAAAAATTGCTAATGTGCTGAGAAAACTGTTCAATAAAGACAACGTTTATAAATATATTGCTGGAAATTATTTCACAGGTTCTTTTCAAAGGAGATGACGTTGTCCATGGGTAAAATGAATAAACATTTTGCTTTGCTGCTACATAAATGAAGCAAGAAGGATTTTCTCCCCCAACATTTATGGTAACAAAATACAAAGTTCTTTTGGATGGTTTTAGCAGTTGACAACAGATTTATGGCGTTTGCAGAGAAAGTGTTACTCACTGATGTATGGGTGAGCTTAGGTGGTGTCTGAAGAAGTAATGTGAGACTGTGAGCACACACAGGGATTGTTTGGTCTTTTTTAAATGGTGATGAGCACTTGCAGCTCCCATTGACTTTTATTGGAATTGTGGGTGCCTACTATTCTGGAAATCAAGCCATATTTCATAGACGCCTTAATTTTTGAATATGTTATTCAACAAAGCGTTGGCTCCAAGTATGAAGTAAGTTTAACTAAGAAGGCTGTTGGAGAGAGGGAGGGAGGGTGCTTTGATCCTAACATTGACTACATCTATATCTTTATTACACTATTATAATAATATGGTTGTAACTGAATTTCCTTCTGCAGTAGAAACCCCAGTTATTTTGGATTTATAATAGTGATGAGCCAACCAGTTCATATAAAACAAGAACGGATGAACCTTCTTCTGAAACTCAAACCAAGCCTGCACTTTTTGAGGTTGGCAAAGTCTAGCAGTGTTCTTTCTTTTTTAAATGTTCAAACCCCTCCACCCTTCCTCTGGGTCAGTAAAGGTGAGTTCTAGGCTACCACCTGGAAAGCTATACTATCAGTAGCTTCCATTAGGTTTTGGAAGGGATCCTGTTTCAGGGCACAAGCCAACCTCTACTTAATAGGGTTAGGAAGAAACTCTCTGGGGGCAGGTTATCCAGATATAACTGCTTGCCGTGGGTTTTGCTACATCTTTCTTTTAAGCAGCTGGGTTCTGGCTACTGTCAGAGACAGGATTCTGGACTTGATGGACCACTGGTCAAATCCAGCATGGCAACTCCTATGTTTCCAATTATCCTAATAACAGGGGGTTTTCAAAATTTCACCAGAGTGTTCTCATGAGATTTCCAGCCTAATATGCACACCAAATAAATCCTGGTTAAATGCAGATTAGCTGTGGTTACACTTCCCAGCCCAACTAAACCTCTGATCCCTTGAAAGTTTAGAACTTGGCCAAAACAACTTGTTCTAGGCTAGTGCTTGATATGGAAAGTTTGGGCCTAGCAGTGATTTTTGTGGGCTGAGTAGAGGAGAGGGAATTCCATTTTTAAAAACCTCCAACTGTTTGTGTTGAGCAGAATTAAAAAAGCTAATTTAGTGAACTCTTTTGCACACAAATACACTGAGGAACATTAAATTGGATCTTTACCACCCACAGTAGTTAAATTTACTGTGGTATTTGAGGTATTTCACATTCTAAGTATCGGGAATACCACTGTGTGGTAAATATTCATTGTTAATGATGTCCACTGTTTCATTTTTAAAAGCAAGTTTACCTTTTGAATGAGCCTGTCAGACTAATTGCCTTGTTGAACTAGAAAAAATATTTTAAATGGGTTATTAGGAAATTGCGCAGGAAAACGTTCTAATGATATCATATCAATTCAGTCCAGTCATGAAAGAGAGAATTAGGCAATAAATATGGGCTGTAGGGATGGACTGTCCTTCTAATGGGAAACCTTTCACCCAAGTACATACACAAGAGAAGCTCCAAAAAGAGGATATGTATTTACAAATTTGGTCACCATGTTTAGCATACTTACAGAAGGTGGGCTCCCCAGCCAGCAATCCGGAATCTTGAGCCAGGTTCTTTGAATATTAATGTGATCCTGAATTATGAATTTATGTTGTCGTGTGTTAACGTTTTATTGTAGCTTTGCCTTAATGAAAAGTTTCTTTAAAAAAAAATGATAGCCAGGGCTCAGGAACTAGTTTTCAGGTATTTTTCTTTGCATTTTCAATGGGAAATAAACCTGAATGAGTGATTGAATAAAAGTATGAAGATGATATTCTATAGGCTAAAGCTATTTAAAAAAATGGAGGGACAATAAAGTGGCCCAGTGCAGCCTAAAAAAGGGGCAGAAAAGATCCTTCTGTTTATGAAAAATTCATCATTCATGTGCTTGGATGTACAGTAACTCCTCGCTTAACGTTGCAGTTATATTCCTGAAAAATGCGACTTTAAGTGAAACGATGTTAAGCGAATCCAATTTCCCCATAAGAATGAATGTAAATGGAGGGGGGAGGAGGGGAGAATTAGGTTCCAGGGAAATTTTTTTCACCAGACAAAAAACTGTATTTTCACCAGACAAAAAACTATGTATATATACGCACACACACAGAGTATAAGTTTTAAACAATTTAATACTGTACACAGCAATGATGATTTTGAAGCTTGGTTGAGGTGGTGAAGTTAGAGGGTGGAAGAGGGTGGGATATTTCCCAGGGAATGCCTTACTGCTAAATGATGAACTAGCATTCGGCTGAGCCCTCAAGGGTTAACACATTGTTGTTAATGTAGCCTCACACTCTACAACACAGCACGAATGGAGGGAGGGGAGACAGCATGGCAGACAGAGACATAGACACACACCCTGTGTGTGGGAGAAAGAGAGAGAGATGCGCATTGCCCCTTTAAGTATGCTGACACCACATTTTAAGTACATTGCCTTTAAAAAGATCAGGAAGTTGAGACAGCCGTTGTGGCCAGCTCTCTTCATCCTGAGCTCTGTTGTGTCTCTCCCCTGCTCTATATGGAGAAGGAGTAAGCGGGGGACAGGAGTAGGGGGGAGGGGGACACCCTGACATTAGCCCCCTCCCCTGGAGGCTCCCGGGAGCAGCTCCAAGGCAGAGGTAGGAGTAGCACAGGGCAGTGGGGGGAGGGACAGCTGAACTGCCAGCAATTGATATCCTGCTGGGCGGCTGCTGCACAGGGAACTTAGGGGAGCAGGGAGCTGATGGGGGGGCTGCCGGTCCATCCTGGTTCCAAACCCCCACAGGCTAGCTCCAACGGGCTGCTCTTCCTGCAAGCCATGGACAAAGCAGGCGGCTGCCAAACAACCTTATAAAGGAGCATTGCACAACTTTAAATGAGCATGTTCCCTAATTGATCAGCAACGAAACAACGTTAACCAGGATGACTTTAAGTGAGGAGTTCCTGTATTTGCCCATAATAATGTACCATGTTGGATGTATTTACCTATGGGAATGTATCTTTTCACCCTATGAGCTTCTGCGCTACTTCTTACTGCCTAGGCTGTTCTTCATTGGTTCTGCTCCTTACTACTTTCCAGCCCCTTGTCTCTCCATTACGTACACTGGGTGATTTATCATGCCTTTTTGCAGGTCCCCTCCTGAAGTTTCCATCCGTTCCTTTCAGGCACCACAGACCTCCCAGCCATGTTAGTTTGCCTCAGCAATCCCATCCTTCAGGGTAAGTTCTAGCTTGTTCTAGCTTGTGTACATCCCTTAAAACTGACTGGTCTCTAAAAGGGTCCCATATTGTCCACTCATGTGGGTTATTATTTATGTGTTAGTGCTGCAATTCAGTTAAGAGAACCCATACAAATTCACAGAAGTAAATATTATTTATTAAGTTACATAGCATTTGCTCCTTCAGCCACATAAAATGGAAACACCTCAAGAAAGAGAAGGATTGAAAAAAATCCTTTTAAACAAGTCTCCTCAGAGGTTAATATAGACCAGTGGTTCCCAAACTGGGGTTCACAGAAAGCTACAGGGGGGTTGCCAGAAAAATTTCACAAATGGCGGCCAGAGGACCTCGGGCATTGGAGGGAGCAGGTGGGACCTGGCTTGCAGGGCAGACAGCCCGAGCCACAGGGAGAGCGGGGCAGGGCAGTTGGGGCTGGCAGCCTGAGCCCTGCCCCCATGAGCTGGGGAGCCGGCAGCCCGAACCCCAGTGCTCTGCGCAGAGCCGGTAGCCCGAGCTCCAGGGAGAGCTGGACTGGGAAGTTTGGGCTGGCAGCCCGAGCCCTGCCCCCATCAGTGGGGGAGCCGGCAGCCCGAACCTCAGCGCTCCATGTGGGGCTGGCAGTGCGAGCCCCAGGGAGAGCGGGGCTGGGCAGTTTGGGCTGGCAGCCCAAGCCCTGGCGGTCAGCAGGACCTGCAGCCCGAGCTCAGAGGAGTTCAGTTGACCGGAGCGGTCAATGGGGTCCAGCAGCAGGAGCCCCATGGAGTGCGGAGGAAATTTAAACTTAAATCCCTGGAAATATTCATTTTTAGGAGGGGGTTCACGAGATTTCACAATTTAGTGAAAGGGGTTCGCGGGCTGTTAAAGTTTGGGAACCACTGATGTATACTTTATTCTATAAACTAGGTTCAATGGGGGCAAGTGACAAAAGTCCATAGGTAAGTAAAAAAACGTGGAAATCTGGGGGGGGAGCATGGGCCGTTATAGCAGGGATAAGGGAGAGACAAGAGAGAACATGGGAGGGAAATCAAATCAGCATCTTGGATGTCTGTTTGCTAATTCAAGAAGTATGGAGAATAAACAGGAGGAACGTGAAATGCTGGTTAATAAACACAACTTCTGACATAGTTGGCATCACAGAGACTTGATGGGATAATATGCACGACTGGAATATTGGTATAGAAGGGTACAGCTTCCTCAGGAAGGACAGGCAGGGAAAAAAGGTAGGTGGTGTTGCCTTATATATTAAACATATATACACTTGGACTGAGGTTGAGATAGAAATAGGAGACAAACTTGTTGAAAGTCTCAGGGTAAGGATAAAAGGGGTAAAAAACAAGGGTGCTGTCATGGTAGGGGTCTAGTACAGACCACCTAACCAGAAAGAAGAGGTGGAGGAGACTTTAAAAAAAACCCCACAACTAACAAAATCATCCAAAGCACAGGACTTGGTGGTGATGAGGGACTTCAACTACCCAGACGTGTGTTGGGAAAATATTATAGCAGGGCACAGATTTTCCAGCAAGTTATTGAAATGTATTGGAGACGATTTTTTATTTCAGAAGGTGGAGAA